GGGACTTAACAGTTTTTCACTTTGGGAGGCTGTCCTTGTTGCCTGAGTGCGAACCGTCGAATTTGTGTGGGCTGACCGTCAAAACTGGTTGACGGCAAATTACCGTTGGGCCCGGCGGCGGATGCTTGGTCAGGGAACTTTTCCGGCTGATTGACCCAAGCAAGTTATGTTAACTTGCCTGGACTCGAGTGCCCGCGGAGAGCCTGTCACTTTGCCGTCAGTTTGACGGCCTGCAGGTCAGATTGCCGGATGTTTGACTCGCGCGGCAATTTGCCAAGCGAAACTTAAATCGTGCAACCGCCGTGTACTTTTTTTTTTTTTTTTTTTTTTTTTTTTTAAAGTGTAAGTTTGGCCTTTGGCATTGCACACTATGAATATCATTATTTCTACCTACAAGCTTTTTGTACACTACGGGTGCTGCGTTTCGAAACATTTCCGAAGCTCGTTCGGAAATGTTTCGAAAGACGCGCCCGCAGGGGGCGACGTCCTGGACCTTGGTCCAGGTACATTTTGCAATGTGCTCCGAAGGGGATTCCGAAAATCTTTCGAAGACCTCTCGATAGTTGTTCGAAATACTTTCGAAAAAGTTGCGGGATGCCATGATTTCGAAGTCGACTCCGAAGCTAGATTTCGAAATGATTCCAAAAGAGTTCCGAAAGATTTTTGTCATGATCAGGGGTGTTTTGAAATTTTTTTGAACATTTATGATGCCTGGAGTGGCGATTTGTGAATTGCACTTGGTCAAAAAGACCTGTTCCTCTCACTCGCTTGCTGATCCAACACTGTTTCACTGTAGCATACATATATGAACTTGTATTTCCGACTGAAGAATACTTGAGTAACAACAATGAAACAAGACAAGAGCAAGTGTAGAGAGAGAGAACAAAACAACAGCAGATAGAAGATGACTAGATAAGACAAAAGATAGCAGACGACAAGCATAAAACACACAAAAGTAAGCAACATGATGAGGAAACAAGAGCCGAGGAAAAAAGACAAGAAGTGTATAAACGATCAAGCAAGTTTCGTTTAGATCGCTTGCTGGTGTGTTTGCTACTCAGCTGGGTCACTTACGGTTGGAGGATAGTTACGAAAAATAGAGAGGAGATGACTTTAAGTGGGGTTGAGTGTACTTAACCAAAATCGCATTGAGGAGAGAGGAAGTCGTCAGAGGGGGAGAGGAGGGGATAATTCAGGATGAAGAAGCAAGAGGCGACCGACACACCTTGCTCAACAATCGAGTGCTTTAAATACCTTTTCAAAAAAAAAAATCACACGGTCTGGTTCCTCCAACCCAAAAAAGCTTCGAAGCACTTTCGACACTCTTTCGAACCGGTTGGAGGAACCGAAGCATGGTTCGAAAGTTTTACGAAAGAATCACACCTCCCACCAAAAAACTTCCGGAATAATTTCCGAAGTGTTTTTTTAGAGTTCTGATCCGGCAATATCCGCATAAAACCCAGAATTTCACCGGATCAAAATCATAAGCGGAAGACTTCGAAATAGTTTCGAAATCTTTTTTGCAACTTTCGTAAAAGTTTCGAACTTTTTACGAAAGCCGCTTCGAAATCACCAAGTCCATACATTTCGGACATCGTTTCGAAGCAAAACCTTAAAAGCACCCCCGTAGTGTATGTTTGTAGCATGATTTTTTCCTGTACTTGGTCTATGGGGGCAAGTTCTGTAGAGGATGCGGGAGTGTAAGAGACAGTTTCATCTACTTAAGGATTTTTATAGTTGGGGGACAGATTGGGTGCAACCATTTTTCAGGCTGATTCAAATTGGGTAACAGGTGTTGAAAGTGAAATTGGGGGTTTTTATAAAGGGGACAACTAATAAAGGGTTTGAAAGTGAAAATGGGGTGGTGTGTAGTTGTCCAAGATCGGAAGTGGTAGCGGCCAGGGGTTGGGTCTGCCGGGATTCGAACGCCGGACTCGTCACTCTCTTCGAAGTGATTATACTATGTCGTCGCAGGGGAGACACCGAGCTTCCGTGGGTGATGGTTACCGCTAGGCCATCCAGGCCCTCGCCGTGTACTTGAGGCTCCCCAGAGCACCAACAACTGTGGGATAGAGGCATACATGCATATGTATTACAAAACTTCATTTTTTCTCTTCCACCAAATTCCCCCGAGCTTTCTTCAAACTCTACGCAGGCGCTTCATTGTAGTTCTAGGTCCTGCAAGCAGCCAATCCACCAAGTGCGTATTTAGCAATCACCATCCCAGCTAATGAACTTTTGAGAGCAATGCTTAATTCTTCGATGCTGCTTGTTCCAGATTCGTAATGCCTAAAATCTTGGATCTCCCGTGGCACGTGTTCGAGGTCATTTACAAACACGTTACCAACGATGGCGACTCTTCATCGACATATGATATCTGTGATCTCCAGTACGATAGCATGATGACCGAGACAGGAAAGCTGAGATTGGTCTGTCGACAATGGGCCGATTGGATATATGTGCATCACCTTTATCGCACGATGTACTTCAGCAAGGCTTCTGAAGCGATGCGTTTCATCATCAACCAAATCACCAGGCGTTCGAAAAACCTTCCACGGGCGAGATGTCAAAAACTAGTGGTCTTGGAGATCCTCACTTGGGGTCCTCCACCACCTCATCAGGGAACACCAACCTCAAGGAGATTCACACCAGCAATGTTTAGAAAACCCGAAGATACGATCACGTTCGAGATCTTGGAAGCTCTGATCGAGTTGTTCTCTGACACGATCGTCGAACTCAGGTTGACGTTTTGGAATGTAATGTTGCTTCCTACGCGAACGATTGGGACGATAGGGCGAATTGAAAACCTGCGCGCCTTGAGACTCGGCCACGAGTTACCTGACCCAGCTTCACCACAGCCTAGGCTTTTTCCGCTTTACCACGATAGTGACGATGATGACATTGAAGAAGAAATACGCCAACATAATGCGCGACTCGATGAGGAAGAAATGTTAGGCAATCGTCATCGACCTCCAGTCGACATGAATCCAGTCAAGTCCAAAATCGATTCTGATTGCCTCAAGTCGTTGCTGCGAGTCACTCGAAAGCTGCAGTCACTCGACATCACCGACTTGGATCCTATTAGTCTGCCGAAGCCGGTTAAATCCAGCCTCTGTGGCCACCAAATCCCGACTATTACTCAGCTGGAAGTAAGCCTAGAGGGCAAGAGTCTATCTAGACTCATAGATCTTTCTATTATCCTCAAAGGTACTCTGAAAGTACTTTCACTACTGGATCGCTGGGAAGGTGATCACAGTCGTAACCTTGTACCTGTCTTCGAAAACCTCCGAGAAAGTCTCGAAGGCCTCTTTGTTAGTGACGAAAAGATCCTCAAGCCCTTCATGAAACTCAAGTTCCCCAAATTACGTGTCTTCAAAACGGGCGCGTGGGAGGGACATATTTCCAATCTTTTGGAGAAACCTATGATAGCATTCTCCCCCATCGAAGTTCTTGCCCTCAAATCAGATGTCGTCGACAGTAAACCAAAAGGAAAATTCCGTGCCAATCCGTTTTTAAACCTGCCCACGTTGAGACGACTAGTATTTTGTGAAGTCCAACCTGGTTACTCGCCGCCATCAGCATACATCAAGGCCTGTAATGCCCGTCGCGTAGAATGCGTTTATCTGAGCCCCAAGGATGGCGAGGATGTCTCTTTGATCATGGTCAGTGGATTTAGTACTCTTTTTCCTTTTTTTGCTACGGAGACTCTTGCTACATATGGAAGCTTTTAACTTTAACGCTTACCATGTTGCTCATTTCAAATCCAGAAATTATGAACCGGCGAGCTTGTGTGTTTTTGGTAGAAACCTGGATTTCCATTGGCCACAAGATGAGACCTCAAATCAAGTCAATCCTCCCCCCCCAAAAAAAACAAATCCAATGTTTATCTGTTGAATGCAAATCTGTGTTCTGCCTACTTGTCAGTCAAAAAAAATGTCTCTCTGTTGTAAATGCACATCTGTGTTTTACCTATCTACCAGCCCCCCTTCCTCTATTCACAAAGAACACAAATTGTTGTAAAGTTTAGCCAAAAAGACCAGAAGAACTAGAATGCAGATTTTGTCTCTGAAACACCCACTAGCTGATTAGTTGTACTCTGTTCACCTTCTTCAAGCCCGCTGGTCAAGAATTATATTTTTATGCATTTCCTAGTGTCTATGAGTTACAGACCATGCACAGAATTTTCAGATGCTATCAAGGTATGAAAACCTTCCGAATCCTGCTACAAAGTAATCTGTTTAGTGACAGCCATGTAACTTGTTTGATGCCCTGAAGCATTCAACTGAATCTAAATCAGAACAATAACTCAGCTATTGGTCAGCCAATGACCCAGCCCAGCTCTCACTCCCTCAACCAAGACCATTACATTGAGATACATTGCAAGAACAAGTTGCACAACTGGGTGCAGTTGACATGCACTTTCACAAAGACACCTCTTTAATATTGCTTGTCAACTGTGCACAGTTGCACAATTTCTTCTTGCAGTGATAAGTTTGAATTAGGATGTATTGCCATGGAGTTGGTCAACCAGGGACATCCCCAAAAGCTGTGTTGCCTAGTGGGGTTCAAGATGGTGTTTTTTGCTTCTCAAACCTGTTATTTTTTTGCTTGCTAAAACATTCCTGACATTAATGTTCTCAGCAGAAATTTGAACTTCTGCTCAAATGTGAATGATGCTTATGCCTTATGAAATAAACTGCTACAATAAGTTAAATTTTACTGAGCTGATTGAACTGACAGAGCCTCCTAATCCAACAGTATGGAGGTGTTTAGAGTATACTTGCATTATCAGTTATGATACTGTTTTGTGGAATAATTTTATTCTATTTTTGTCAATTCTTCTGAATTTGTTCAAGGTAAAATTATCCTGGAGATGTGAATTAGAACCTTTTCAATTTAATCTTAAGCTCTTGTATGGAAATGAGAATCTATTTAACAATTCCTTTTTGGAAACACTCAAAATAAATTACTGAGATTTGGAAATATGTCTTTGTGAACATGGTGACTGAAAAACCCACAGTCCAAACTATAATAAACACTGATTGGTAATTTTGACTAGATTTTCAAATCCCTGTGGGTGATTTTCCTGATACCAAACTGTAAGAACTAACCCTGCTGTTTCTTCTAGAGTCAAGGGATTTTGTTCTTCAGAGAAGAATTTAATTAATTGGATTTGAATCTTTTGAAATCCTTTCCAATTTCTGTTTTTCTCACCCTCCCAAGGTGCAAGTTTGTCTTCACTTTCATAATACCCAAATAGAGGGGTAGAGTCTTGAGAGCTGACAAGTTTTCCAGTCAGCCATTCAAATAATCTCTCTCTACTCTTCTTGTACTCATCTTTCTTGATATCAAAATGTTTGTAAGATTTAAGATAAAGGTGATTGATTGCTTTGAGAAGTTTTTTGAAATTTCTTATCACCTGCAATGGTTCAAGCAAGTATTTAGACTTACTGTTATCCAAGACATGCAGGATCTTCTTGTCCAAATTTCCTTGTACAAAGTAAGCTGACATGGATAATTTGGGATGGATGCTCCGCAAAGAATGACCCAGCTTTCCTCTCAGAGAGAGAAGGTGATTCTTGAAATTTAACATAGTGGGTGAACTCAACTTCTCTCCTTGAATTGAAAAATTCTTCATATGAACTAGTTCAGAAAATACTTCTTTGTCAGTTGCCAACTTCAATAAAGTTTTCATTTTTTGTTTTAAATGTGTACTTTGATAAACTGTTGAAAAATCTTCAATTTCATCACTTGATACTGGTGTATTGACTGATTTATGATGTTTTTTTTAGTTATTCAAGATGAATCAAACGACCATATTTAGGTTTTATTTCAAAAAATTCCCAAGAATCAATAAATTGGCAATTCTGTTCATTCATACAATCTCAAATTTACTTCAACTCACTTGGATACATGACTTGGAAGATTTCCAGCAGATAGGTAGCAGTGGGAAGTGCAAGCTCTTGATCCCCTTTAGAGAAGTAATTTATCAACTTGATCTGAGTATCTCTAAATTCATGTTCATTAGACCATTTGAATTCTGATAAAATTCTGATCCCCATGATTGGATAACTTTCATTATCTGATCCAAAAATTTCAGAGTCCACCCAATTCAGGATCCTTTGTTGCAAATGGATGTGCATGTATATTGGAATGCTGAAACCTTTCAAATATTCTTCATAGAGTACAAAGATCCATTTTATCAAGCTGTAATAGCTTTGAAACACATCTTGCTTTTCTGTCACACTATTCATATAGAATTTCAAGATCTTAATTGCTACATGACTTTCATTTATGAAGCATATTCCAAGTCTTAATTCTGGATAGGGGATCTGATATTTTTTCTGGGAAGTAGTTTTGATGGAATCAATTGACTTGAGTGTTTTGCAAAATTTATCATGGTGGTATTTGAGATGCAATATTGAGCGATATCCATCAATAGAATACTGTTGAGAAATTCTGCCTGTAACTTTGTGCTTTGGACTCAAGTATTCATCAGCTGCTCTTTTCCTTGATGGTTGAGCAGGAAACTGAGGAGACATGTCATTCATGGATGGGTTTGAGGATGGTTTAATGCTACACAGTTGGTCACCTTTCACATCTGTAGGATGTCAGTTTAATGAAAGCTAAACAAGAAGAGATCATCAATTTTCTAACCTCCATCAATATAATCCATGGTGTTATCTTGTATCATCAGCTTAGTTGGATTGCCACTAGCTTGAGGTGTTTGATGCAACCTGGTGTGGGACTTGGAGATTATATCAAGGACTTCAAACAGCAAGGTTGTACAAATGAATAAGATCTCATTAGCTGGTATCCTTTATTTTAAAATCAGTTATGTGATCTCCTGGAAAGCATAATTCCTTACCGGGAGCTGCAGCACATGAATTCAAATTGGAAACCATACTGGAAGAAGAGGAAATTTGAAAGAAGTCATTTTTCAATTGAATTAAGATATCCCGTAAACCAGGAGAGAATGGAACTGGGAGAGGGTCTTTGGCTGAAAAATCTGCCAATTTTATGTGCCCTGTACAATTCGGTTCATCTTGTGAGTCTTTCCATGAATTTTCTAGATCAGTTTCAGAAACTTTGGGAGAATTCCATTTCATCAACCCAATAGTGAGCTCCTCTTCTGGGAAAGATGCTTTTTTAATTGATTTGTTTGGGTTTCCCCACTCTGGTAGCTTCAGGTTAACAGGGTTGGTGGATGAAACTGTTCCAAAGATGTAAAAAAGTAGATTGAGTGCATGGTGTTGTGAAACAATAGAACAAGATAGCATACTGAAGACTGAAGATGATCAATTTTCAAATAGCTGGGTTATGAAAAAGAATTTCAATTTCAGATTTCAAAGAATTTCTCTTTCAGACCAGGTGCTAAAATACCAAGAGATAGCTTGCGCCTTGATACAAAAAATCCCCTTGATTCTGGTTAGTAACTTACTTCAATTTTTTTTTCTAATGCAGCAGCCATTGATTCCTCAAATTTAAACTTATATTGAATAAGATTCAGCTCCAGTAATCAGTACCTCTCACACAACAAATTAGTTGGACATTGCTTTCTGACACATGGTCCTAAACCATAATGAGGGAGAAGTGTGATAAAGAGAGAATGTGTGTATTGATCCTAAAAATGTTTGAGAACTTGTTTTCCAACATTTCAGACTGGTAGTAAAATGGATCAAGCCTTTTCCCTATGATTCCCCCTGCAATTTGTTGTGCTAGAACAGACAAATATTTCAATTGATGAAATTTCCTTGTGGTTGGAATCACAGAAAGCCCCATAATAGGTGGGTGTTGAATTATGCATGTGTAATAGGTCAAACACACAAAATCATACTTTTGAAGGAGGTTAAATGTCAATTGTGCCAAAATTTTACCCCTGAAAAGGTCAATTTTGGGTTTTGAAAACTTCCCAAGACTTTTAAAAACCAAGTCTTTGGACCAGGTTGTTGAGATCTGAGCTCAGTTCCTCTACAACCCCAGCAGTATTTTTCTAAAGAAGAAGATTACATAATCTCAGTCATCTTCTCAATGAAATAATCTTGGATTCCTGACATAAATTGATCTCTCTCTTGGCTGAAATCACTCACTCTTTCCTCCTCATGAATCCACCAACTCACTTCCTCATCTTTTTGAGCTTAAGACTTCTCACTCACTTTCTTAACTTGTTGTCTTAAGACTCCTACACTTCTACTCAACAACAGATTCATCACCATCATCCATAAAATCATAGATCATTATGCAACCCTTATCATATTGACATTCTCACATCCTCATCTTTTCATTTGTTGTGAAACAACTCAACCTGAACATCTTCTTCAATCACTGTCTCTCTTCACAAACACTTGTGCTTTCTCCTTCTATTTAATCTTTCCACTCAATCTAAGCACTCTCAACTATCTATCCTGTCATTGGAGGTTATTGCTTCAGTCTCCTGTCTCATCGACTTGATTGAATCTCAACTAAGATTCTTTATGTTTAGCTCTCTTCTCTCTCTTTGATCTTGTGTGTCCTGGTGTTCTCCTGCATAAGGTACTTTTATTCATA